CCCCCCCCGCGCAAAAAAAGGGCGCCGCCCGCCGGCCCCGCCGCCATCTTGGGGCCCGCGGGGACCGGGGGGACCCGAGGGAACCGGGCGGGACAGCGGGGGATGCCCAGCCGGGGCCTCGCTGCAGCCGGGGAGCGGCGGAGCGCTCTCCGCCCGCCGGCGCCCGGGCCTCCCGCTGCGCCTTTGCCACAAATATTATTTTCGTGGTTTTCCCTTTTTTTTTTTTTTTTTTTTTTTTTTTTTTTTTTTTTTTTTTTTTTTTTTTTTTTTTTGTTTTTTTGACGTTTTTTGACGTTTTTTGTTCGACCGGGCCGAGGAGGAAGTGCCAGTTCTTGTATCGAACTTTGAAGTGCCCTGAAGACTCACTTCATTCCTGAAGTGCCCTGAGTCTCGTCAGGCAGGAGCAGGGCAGGAATTCCCCGTGGCCCTGCTCCATCTAAACCCACAGAACCGGGCAGAACATCCCTTTCCCATCCTGCTTCCCACCACATCCCAGACCTGTCCTCCCCAGGAAGCGCAAATCCCCACCCTGTGCCTTGACTTTGTCAATAACATCATAAACCCCAGGAGCATCATTCCCACAAGGAGCCCAGGTGTGTGTTCCCAGCTGGGCCAGTCCAGGAAAAGCCCCAGGAATTCAGGCTGTCAAAGCATTCCCATCTCGTGCTGTTCTCCCAAAGCGTGAGCAGCAGCTCCTGCTGTCCCGAGGGAGTGGCTGGAGCAGGACCCAGCTGGGATTTTGGAATCAGAGCTGCACAGACAGCAAAGCTGTGGCACAGAATCCCACGCATCACTCACTCCTGGATTCCTGAGGTTTGGTCCAAGAGGTCTTTACATCATGTCCGGAAGCACCAGGATGAGCAAACCTTGGGGCTTGAGCTCCTCAGGTTTCCGTGAGGCTGAGCAACCTCAGTGGCAAAGGGCCAGGATCTGCCCAGCAAACAGAACTGACACTAACGCGGGGCTGCAGAGGGTGCCGGGCATTTCAGACAATCCTGTCCCGGTTTCACTCACAGCTCCCACGCTCTGGCCTCCTCCAAAAGCTTTTCCTGTCCTTCCTGCAGTATTTATAGTGCAGTGCAGCTGTCTGAGGAGACAAACCCTCACCTCACTCAAAGAAGATGAAGCAGCCAACAGCTCCTGTATTTATTCACTGCATGTCTCTGATATCAAATCCCCTCTCCAGGCAGGTACAGTCCATCAACACCAAATTTTCTCTGCAATTTCTCAAACATTATAAAAACAGGCCCATTCTGAACCCTGCCCCTGGGGTCTGCAATTTCAGCTTCCTTTAGGATCCTGGGAGATGTCACCCATATGTATTTCTTTAACTTGCTAATTCTTAATGCATCAGAAATAAAGATATTGTGGTAATGAGTTCCACAGGTGACACGTTGTGTACAAGTTTTAATTAAAAGTTAAATAGTTTAAGACATTTGTTTACAGGCAACAGTATTGGTTGCTCACTCTGTACATTGCATTTATTGGACAGCAATAAGGAAAAACAGAACATTTGGCACGAGAATGCCAATTTTTTTTTATTATTATTATTTTTTTTGGACACATGAACACAAAATATCCCTGCAGGCTAAAAAAAAAAATACAATGCAATTGTACACGACCAGCATCTTATCTCGACACGGGGCTGTGAGCCCCAGGACAGTTTAGAAAGTACCTCGTATTGCTAGAGACATACATCCAGTCCAAAGTTAATAAAATACCATTTGAAACATTACAAGTCTAACAATATAGAAACCAAAAAATTACATCAGAAGTCAAACTGAACAAATGCAAACATTTTACATTGAAATTGCAGCCTCTAGACATAGAAATATGAAAATGTCAATAGCAAGGTCTAAGAAAATCTGTAAGTGATATTCAGTGCAAGATCTTTCCTCCAGTGCACAGGGAAAGAGCCTCGCAGTGGATCGGGATCGGGATGGATCCAATGCCCTCTGGCCCTGCCTTCTGAAAATGAAAGCAGAGTCACGCCCTCGCTATTGAGCAAGAAAACTCCTACAGCACATCCACAAAGGGGTCGGGGCTGTCAGATGCCAGCTCTGATCCATGGCCCTGCCCCATCCCAAGGGCAGCGAGAGGGGGGCACAGGACAGCCCCTGCACCGACCTCGGCTCCCTCTGGATGGAGCTCCGGGTGCCTGGGGAGCTCCCAGCAATACAAGAGCCAGACTGCTGGAGACAGGCTAACTTGGGATTGCCAGAGCTTGTTCAGAGCTCAGCAGGGACAAAGCAAGCAGAACCGGGTGGAAAACAGGATTTCTGCCCCCTCCCCCCCTTTTTTTTTAATATTTTTTTTAATATATATCAACCACCCCCATCCCAACTCTTTGAACTTTGCTACATTTAAAATCTTTCACACCACAGAGCTAAACAGTGGCCAACAGGCTTTATTTATAAAAAAACCCCAAAAAACAAAAATCAAAACACCCTAAAACTACAGCTACAAGAATGCACATCTTCCCATTGATTGACACATGCAGAACGAGTCACTCAGGCCCACAGGGCTCACTCAGGTCCTCAAGTCCTCCAGACTTGGGCTCAGACCTGCCTAGGGCAGCACTGCTGCAACTTGGATCCTGAACTTCAGTGCTTTCCCCCCAAAACTCCAGCCCTGTGCCCGGGGTGGGCTCACACCAGCCCGACTCAGGTGCTGGCCCAGGGCTCACCAGGGGCTGATGCTCCACCTGGTCTGAGGTCAAATATCCAGTCACAGGCAAACCAAGGAGAGGCTCTCCCTTCCCTCAGTCTCAACCAGGAGTGCTTGGCACTGGACAACTAATTGGTGATAAAAGTTCATTTTTTATGCACCCTTGTTAAACCAGCCCCATTCCTAGTGCACAAACTCAAATCAGGGATCTTGGATCCTACCACCTCCAACAGGTGCTCAGGTGCTTTTCAAGGTGCCAAAGTTCTCCGTGTGTGTTGGGTCAGTCAGAGTTCACTCTAAAAAGGGTTTTTGTGTCTTCTCCCTGAACGAGTACTGAGAAAAGCAGCGGTCAGTCTCCCACCCACATGTCCTGATTTTGTTACACAAGTGAGGTATTCTTTAAAATAAAAGTTAAAAAACGTAAAAGAATCTTTTTTGTTTTTTCAATCTAAACCTGTCCTGGCACGTGCCAGGAGCAGGGTTCACTTCAGTCCCATTTTGAACAGAAATGAAAAGAGGTTAAACTTAATTTATGAGACGTACTACTGGCAAGGAGGTTATAAAACTGTTTGAAGATGTTCAGTGTACTCTGGTACAACTGAAAACAACAGCATTTAGAAATGTAAACTTTCATTTATTTACAAGCTTAAAGACTGAAGGAAACAGCATTTCCTATTGCTGAAATTTGGAGGGGGCTGGTTCCTAAGCTTTGGGACAGCAGACAACTTAGCAGCAAACCCCACACAAGTATCAGAGACCACAGTGCAATCCTTGGGCTCCTCAAACTCCTCCTCAGTTTAGGAATAAGCTTTAATCTGCACTAACTCAGGTATACAATAAGGAATCTAGTCTTAAATTACTACGTTCATGGATTACAGGAATACCAGGGAAACAAGGTCCCTGTTCTGGATTACAGGTTGCAGCTGAAAAAAGCCAAGCAGATTAAAAACCCTAATTTCTAGGCTGGGACAGAATCAGCATTTGAGACTCACACGGGTTCAACATGCTGTAAATGCAATTGTGTGGGCAACCCAGATTCCCAGGAAAAAAACAGTTCAAAATGCTGGTACAAGTCCTCAGGTTGCCTGTCACACAATACATTTCAACTGCACACGTTGGCCTTTCCTACACGGAACACCCAGTTTCCAAGCTTATAAAAAATGTTGTAGACAGGACACCAACAGTGAATATAAAACAGTTAAAAATAATTCTTAAAAAAAGCATGGAAATGTGTCTTTTCTAATTTGTTTCAGAAACTGCCAAATTGTGTGTTCAGAAAACGACACGAGAATGTTGGTTAAACTCATGCACAATCCTCAGCTAGAAAATTACACTGTTTGGGGGGGCTTAAAAAACAAAGATTTATTGCCAAAGTTAAACCTTCTATGAGAAAAAAGTTTTAAAATCACTTAGATTTATCAAACCACACAGCAGCATAAAGTGGGCACTTTTGTAAAAGTTTGCAAAATACCTAAAAGCTAAATTTTTTTTTTTGTTTTATCATTTTTAGAGGGGGGAAATGATGGTTCAATACTTGTTACGATACCATGGCAGTATTATTTATAACCATTATCATTAAAATCTACTGACAGGCATCACTATTGGTTATATTACACATTCACAGAACAAGAACCACCTATTAACTCGCAGTATAGTGCAATTGCTTTGCAGCCCAAGTCTGCAGAGATTAAAAAGATAATTAGTAAAACTGACAAAAAACTGCAATACCTGTGAAAGTTATGTTTGTTAAAAGGCATTTACAGTAGTGAAGTCTAAAATCTCCATAAAAAAATCTATGGCCCCACACGACAGAAGGATTACAGCGAGCTGGATAAAACATTTTGCCATCACATCATACTCACGAAGCAGGGCACGGAGACAGAGCAGCAGTCACCGTCAGCTCATGGGATGAGGAGAACTGAAAAAACCACAGCTAGCAAAAGATTTGATAGAAACCTTTCGTGCCAAGTCCTTGAAAAATTTCAGGATGATCGGCCTTTGCGCTTTGAGGTAAAAATTCAGTCCAATGCATCAGAAAAGACAAGTCTATGGATTTCTAGTACAGAAAACAATGAAACAAATGGCTCAATTGTGTTGGTGCATCAGACGTTGCAGTGAAGAACAGATTCAGTGCGACTGTCCGGAGCTGCTGGTAGTGGGCAGTCCGAAATCCCCCGGCCCTGGATAGAGCAGGAGGCTTCCAAACACTTCAGGACTGCATGGGTAGTTGTTTTGCCTCATCCTCCCAGGGGCTCTCAAGCGAAATACATGGTGTGCTGGGTGTCGTGGTGGATCTGCACGGCCTTGGCCAGCGCCTGCGGATCGCGGCCGTTGCTCTGCCCCGACACGTGGCTGCCCTCAGCGCTGCGAGCAGACACACACCCGTGAACAACTGGGACAAGCAGCACAGCTCAGCCTCACTACCTGCTTACCACGATGATGAGGCCATTCCTTACCTGTCGTGATCCTTGTCCACAAGATGGTACCTGGCCCGAAAGGCCACCAGCCTGGCGTAGTAGGCGGGCGCGGGGATGGAGACGGAGCGGGTGCAGCGCACGTACGTGTGGCACAGCTGGTACGTCAGCAGCTGCAGCTCGTCTGCTGTGAAGCAGTTGTCATCCCACAACACCTGGTAGTGGGAGGGCCGGCTGGTTCCCTGCAGAGAACAGGTGAGCAGTCAGCTGGAGAGCAACAGCAAGGACAGAGGTGGTAGCTGCAGGCTGCACCTTCCAGCAGGCACTGAGGAGTCGGTGCCAAGCAGGCACCGACACACTCTGAGTCTGCCAAGCAACAAACAGGAGTGACTTTTCCCATGGGGACAACTACAAGGATTTAGTTGCACAGCCTGAGCACAGCAGAGCTGACATTACCTGAATTCCTGCATGGCTACAGAGGTAAAAGTCAAATTCAGAGGGATGTGTGATGGTGCTGTCCACAGTAGTGCCTGCTGGTACGTTGCCACTTTTACCCACCTAGTGAGAAAGGTTTATTATTAGTCCATGGGCTTTTTTGGAAGTGACCCCAAAATGCTTTCAAAGGTAGGCTCTATTGAAAGCTGCTGGAGAATTTACTGCTCAGAAAGGTGAAAATATATTAAGGTCGTTTACACAGGAGGAATGAAAATGTTCTCTGTGAATTCATTTTTAGAAACTTCACCAAATCTAGCTGGTGTGTCATCAGAGGAAAATAACACCCTTGCCAGCACCATTAAAACTGCAGAGTGGGATAAAGCCTACACAAGTAATTCAGGATCTGAAAATGCAGGTTCCTGAGATAAATTTATTTCGTACCCTTGTTTGCTCTTACACCCCGGAGATCTGGGTTTTTAAGCAAACCTCAGATCAAGTGCTTCCCTAAAGAAGGTTCCTCAGCTGGCCTGTGGATTTGTGCCATGGGCACATCTTAGATGCACCTGGAGACAGAACAGGGAACAGAGTGAACAGCCAGGTCAGCCCATCATCAGGAATTCTGGACTATAAAAACCCAGGATACATCTCCAGGTACACAAATACTGAGATACTGAGCACACCTATTCCAAAATGGGGAACAAGCTGTTCCATCTGATGTAGAGCAATAAAAAAAGGAGGAACTGGTTATTTTGGTAGAGAAAGCCTGTTACCACTCAGTACTGCTGCTGCTTTAGTGGGCAAGATGGATCCCACCCCACTGAATCAAACAATCCCACTTTCCTATGCCATCACCTCCCCCTCATGGAGTCAGTACTTGCCCTTTCAGTTTTGTCGGCACAGAACAGCCTGGTGTGGTGCCTTTTCTGCACAACAATGTAGGTTATTCCAGGTCTATAATCTTCTTCCAAACTAATGCAGGCCTTCCGGATGGCGATCAGCTCTGGCCAAGCTACCTGCAAGCAGAAGATTTAACTAATATGTGATGAATTCAGTAGGTATTTGATTATTTTTTTAACCTGTGTACAAATGACGCATGGTAAGGGACATGATCAGACTGGTAAATTGTGCTTGCCCAGGGCAATTCAAGGAAACTTAATTTTTCCAATAACAAATATAATCCACACATAAATAAATATATTTTTTCAATGGCCAATCCCTTATAATCCACATAACTATCATACCCTTTTCATGAGCAACAAAAAATTATCAGACAATACCTGTTTCATCTGTCCTTCCGACACTCCCCCTCTGTAGTAAATGATCCTCGTGGGCTTGAAACGAGTGGATTTGTAGAACTGGATCAAGAGCTCCCTCACCATGTTGGTGAGGTCCTGGATCACCTCCTGGCTGTAGAGCAGCTCCTGGGAGGTCTCCTGGCGCGAGGTCTGCACGCGCACCGTGGCGCAGTAGCGGCTGGGGTGCCCGTCCATGCTGCCCACCACGGCCGCGATGGACGGCTTCTTCCCGTCCCCGGCGGGAGGGTGAGTGACGTCTGCTCCCAGAAAGATCACTGGCTGCTGGAACACCGAGGGCCTGTTCGATAAGATAATTAGTTAGAATCACTGAATTCCAGAAGGGCTTGGGCTGGAAAAGGCCTTAAAGCCCAGCCAGTTCCACCCATCCCACCCTAACCTTGGTTGCTCCAAGCCGTGCCCAACCTGGCTTTGAACACCTCCAGGGATGGGGCAGCCACAGCTTCTCTGGGCACCCTGTGCCAGGGCCTCACCACCCTCACAGGGAACAATTCCTTCCTATTCTCTAATCTAGACATACTCTCTTTCAGTTTGAAGCCATTACTACAGACCCTCTCTGGCCTCCTTGTTGGCCCTTTCAGATGCTGGAAGGTGCTGTGAGATTTTCACACAACTTTCTCTTCTCCAGGCTAAACAACCCCAACTTCCTCACCCTGACTTGAGAGGAGAGGTGGCCTCTTGTCAACTCATAAAAATAAATAAGAACAGTAAAAAGAAAGAGGGCCAGGAACAAAAAAACATTACAGCTGAGGAAGGTGCATCCAAAGCACTGAACAGAAGTAAAACCAAGCTGTTCCATCTGATGTAGAGCAATAAAAAAAGGAGGAACTGGTTATTTTGGTAGAGAAAGCCTGTTACCACTCAGTACTGCTGCTGCTTTAGTGGGCAAGATGGATCCCACCCCACTGAATCAAACAATCCCACTTTCCTGTGCCATCACCTCCCCCTCATGGAGTCAGTACTTGCCCTTTCAGTTTTGTCGGCACAGAACAGCCTGGTGTGGTGCCTTTTCTGCACAACAATGTAGGTTATTCCAGGTCTATAATCTTCTTCCAAACTAATGCAGGCCTTCCGGATGGCGATCAGCTCTGGCCAAGCTACCTGCAAGCAGAAGATTTAACTAATATGTGATGAATTCAGTAGGTATTTGATTATTTTTTTAACCTGTGTACAAATGACGCATGGTAAGGGACATGATCAGACTGGTAAATTGTGCTTGCCCAGGGCAATTCAAGGAAACTTAATTTTTCCAATAACAAATATAATCCACACATAAATAAATATATTTTTTCAATGGCCAATCCCTTATAATCCACATAACTATCATACCCTTTTCATGAGCAACAAAAAATTATCAGACAATACCTGTTTCATCTGTCCTTCCGACACTCCCCCTCTGTAGTAAATGATCCTCGTGGGCTTGAAACGAGTGGATTTGTAGAACTGGATCAAGAGCTCCCTCACCATGTTGGTGAGGTCCTGGATCACCTCCTGGCTGTAGAGCAGCTCCTGGGAGGTCTCCTGGCGCGAGGTCTGCACGCGCACCGTGGCGCAGTAGCGGCTGGGGTGCCCGTCCATGCTGCCCACCACGGCCGCGATGGACGGCTTCTTCCCGTCCCCGGCGGGAGGGTGAGTGACGTCTGCTCCCAGAAAGATCACTGGCTGCTGGAACACTGAGGGCCTGTTCGATAAGATTATTAGTTAGAATCACTGAATTCCAGAAGGGCTTGGGCTGGAAAAGGCCTTAAAGCCCAGCCAGTTCCACCCATCCCACCCTAACCTTGGTTGCTCCAAGCCCTGTCCAATCTGGCTTTGAACAGCTCCAGGGATGGGGCAGCCACAGCTTCTCTGGGCACCCTGTGCCAGGGCCTCACCACCCTCACAGGGAACAATTCCTTCCCAATCTCTAATCTAGATGTACTCTCAGTTTGAAGCCATTACTGTAGACCTTCTCTGGCCTCCTTGTTGGCCCTTTCAGATGCTGGAAGGTGCTGTGAGATTTTCACACAACTTTCTCTTCTCCAGGCTAAACAACCCCAACTTCCTCACCCTGACTTGAGAGGAGAGGTGGCCTCTTGTCAACTCATAAAAATAAATAAGAACAGTAAAAAGAAAGAGGGCCAGGAACAAAAAAACATTACAGCTGAGGAAGGTGCATCCAAAGCACTGAACAGAAGTAAAACCTGTGAGAGTCTTTAAGGGCAAAATTCTCTGCCTCCAGCACTTACAGTCCAGAAAGAACAGAAAGTGACAAGGACAGGATCAAAGGCAGACCAAGTTACAAGCATTGATTCCAAGTCATTCCTCCTCACTCCTTCTCTTTCAGTTTGGACACAAACACAGGATGCTTTTGGTGGCAAGAAGAAAAGGAACACTGAGTGAATCCAAAGGCAGGAAAGAGACAGGAAAAAAGCCTTGGTGAGTTTGGTGGCTCTGAAGGCTGCTGGATGGCTGTGACTCCCCGTGGCTTGGGGCTTACTGGGAACACTCCAAATGCAGACAAATCCTCCACTGTCCCCTGCAGACTGTGGGAATTTCTGAAGTATGTTTTATTTTGAAAAGTATCATTTTAGCAAACACAACAACACAATTTTCCTTGACAATGCAGACATTACGAAGAGCTTTTGATTGAATCTCACCTTTGATGAGGTACCAGCACATTGTTGATTCCTCCAAGCTTGGCGTTGATCTTCAGACACAGGTTGGACAGTGTTTGTGGAGAGGTTTTGACCACGTTCTTTACCTGAACACACTGTGTGGCCATGCCTAGCAGAGTATCTCCAACCCGCTTGACTTCAGCTGTGACAGAAAAAAAGGCAGTGATTCCTGCTTGCTTTTATTTTTTTCAAATAGTAATTCAGATCCTTGAAACTTCACTGACAAAGGTTCAATTTGCTCTTTGGCAATGCACAACTTCTCCAACCAGGCCTGACAAACCAGGTCCAATCTTTTTAAAGAGAACACATCACCTCATCTGCCTCCTTCCTGCCACCCACGTGCAGTACAACCCCAGATCACTTCACAGCCCCTTCTCCATACCATACACAGGCGTCTTGCCAGGCAGAATCACCACGATGAGCTGCAGGCCAACATAAGTCAGCTTTAAGTGTTTGAACATGGGCTCCACGCTGTCTGCACCCTGGGCGTACTTGCAGAAGCAGGGCTGGCCCTGGATCGGCATCCCGGCGTCCTTGGAGATCTTGCGCAGCTGGTCTGTGAAACTCCTGAAATAAAAGTGGATTTGTTCTGGTCTTCTCCCTGTGGTTCACTCATCAGTTTTATCAACCAGATCTACCCTAGTTCTGCTATTTCACAGCACTACAATAAGTATTTTTTAGCAATTCTATTCCCATCAGGAACTCACTAATATGATTCTAATCCTTTCTGAGGAAGGTCATCAGCTACTGTAGTTTTATAAGCCTTACAGAAACAGACATTTGAGATAAACATCCTGAGGCAGACTCCCAAACTAATACTGATGCTCTGGTAAATTTTCACTTATCCACCTAATTTATCTGAGCATTATTGCAACCATGACTTTTACCAAGCAGTGGTTCACAGAATCTCTTTCTTTAGGATTCTGTAGAATAATTTGAAGGGCAGGGGAAAATCAATTTATACTACACATCACCTTTCAGAAACATGAGAAAAATACACCTTGAAATAGAATCCTAAATAAATAGGAAAACACTTACTTCAGCAAGTCTTCCCTGCATTGTTTTTGAGGAGCAAAACAGGCAACAGCCCAAACTTTAATCTCAATGCCAGCATAGAACTGTTTCCCTCTCATGTCCCACACGCCTTGGTTTGGTGTGGCCACAGTCTTGTTCTAGGTAAAAACCAAAGGCAAATTACAAATCAAGCACTGCTCCATTTTGACTGTACCCCACCAGAGGAAAATACACAAAACATCTCATGAATTTCAATAACCTCAGGATAAGGAGTTTTACAAGACATGGAAACTCACCCTGCCTCCATACTGCAGCATTGGGGCTGGCAGAACTCTGCCTGTCAGCTCTGTCATTTCGTTATGGACAACAATTCCAAACTCCTTCAGATACGGATCAGGCCCACCAACCATACTGTTACTCTTCACCTGGGGACAAGACAAGTACTAATGTCACTACACTGAAGCTTCAGGTGACTCTGCCCTCTTTGTCATCAACAGCCTTTCTGTTTAGAAGGATTTGTTTTAACCAAAACAGATTTTTTAACTTCTCTCTTGGTCAAGCCGCTCAACATCACCTGCTCCAATGCTCTGGAAAAGCCACGAGAAGTGACAAACACAGACTGTGCAGCTGAAAAAAACTCACCAGTCTGCTGATCTCCTCCTGCCTGTCTGGGGCAGACCTGGCTGTTGCTTTTATCATGGTTGAGGTCTGATTGTCTGTGAGCTTCTTGATGCACCTCTGGCCAGCCACGATGTTACACACCTGCAGGGGAACAGGGAGAGGTGCTGTGACACTGTTTAACACAGGACACCCCACAGTGCAGGACTCAAATCCTTACCTCCAGTGGCAGGTATGTGTGTTTCTGCTCCTGTCCCACCTGGAGACAGGGCAGGTGAGGGTATTTCAGCTGCAGACTGTACTTCTGCTTAAAATACTGAGCTACTGTGCACTCCATGGCCTGCCCATTCTCCAGCTGCAGAGGGAACCTAGAAATTACATTTGTTCTGGTTAGACTTAGTCAGATTTTTTTAAAGGAAAAAATGGTATGAAAAACCTATTCTACACTACCTTTAGCAAATCTCTATTTTCCTTAGTTACTGGATCTCTTCTTAATGAAAAGATTTTAGGCTATATACTGAATTTCTTGTATTTTAGCTATTTTAAAAACAGGAGCTTTTGATAACTGTATTTAAAAGCCAGGATACAGCTCAGTTTTCCTGGGTTGAAAGAAATAAAAAAGTAGTCAAAACCCACACACTCCTCTACTCCACTAAGACTAAACATTCCTATAAAGCCACAGAGCTGCTTCACCTCCAGAGTCAACTATTGCTGCACAAAAAATACACCAAATATAATCCACTGTATTTAAAAGCCAGGATACAGCTCAGTTTTCCTGGGCTGAAAGAAATAAAAAAGTAGTCAAAACCCACACTACTCCTCTACTCCACTAAGACTGAACATTCCTGTAAATGAATGCTTCACCTCCAGAGTCAACTACTGCTGCACAAAAAATACACCAAATATATTCTAGATATATTTAATAGGTTGAAGATTTTAAGAACTATAACACAGTCCTTGATACATACGTCTGGTGGCTGGCTGGCCGCCGGGTAACGTTGCAAACTCGGTATTTTCTCTTCATCTGGCCACAGTGGGTCACCTCTACTTTTAGACCTGAAAACCCAACAGAAAAAAAATTCAGGGACAGGAATCACCTTTGAAGAGGATGAAGGCAAAAAGGAACAGCCCAGTTCTCCATGTGCCTTGCAAATATATTATGAGCAGGTTTCGGTATTTTCTTGCAGCAGCTTTAGGACAAGCTTTACCTCTGATTTCTTTGGTAAACTTGACACGCTGGGAGTCTGTCAGAGGTTTGCTTTGTTCACTGATGTTCTGGATGTCCAAGACCTCACACATGAACTCAATGATAGGCTGGGCACGATAGAAAGCAGTCGCTGACACTAAGATAAAAAGACAGGACAATTAACTGGGAAGCACAAAGAACTCTGTTACATGAGTGAGACAGAATCTCCTACACACCATCAATGTTGAGCATCATGTTCCACATGGCAGGCCGGACTGACTGGTGGAAGCCAAACCAGACCTCCCTGCCTCCTCCCAGGGGGTGGTAATAACCTTCAGGAGGGGAGAAAAAGGAGCGACCCACAGGGGTGTACCTGGAAAAAATAAGAAAATTAATACTCTTGATCATTTCTTTTTGATATACTTTTTGCATTCACACCTATAGTGTTTAAAACTTGTTATTATTACAGCATGTTATAACTGTCAGAGCTGACTTATGGCAAGCACACAAAGCCTTTTCTGACAGGGCAGCTGGAAAGGGTATGGCAAATTCCTGTTAGAAACATGACCAGCAGACACAAGTCTAGTTCAGATCACATTTCCCTATTCTAGTGCAAATTTGTAAGGCAGGTGTTGAATTACATGGCTGTATCCCTCATCCCTTCCACCACAGGAGTGTAATGGGCAGCAGAGCAGCAGCAAGGAATAACAAACACAAATGTTAAGATGGATAGAAGACATATCCAGTCAGGAAGGCCCCACCTCATGGAGGGAAGGTGCCGTGTGATTACATCCAGTGCCTGTACAGAATCTTCAGGAACTTCATTCAAGTGCCCTGCCAGAGCTTCCAGCAGCATCTGAAGGCTGACGACTGACACCCACTGAATGGAAACCTTAAATGTCTGGTCCTTCCCCTCTCCTGGAAGTGTAACCTCCATATCCACCTGCCACGGGCACAAGAAAATCAAGCACAAACTTTTGTTATGGATTGCAGACAGACACAACGCTCAGCAATGGTACAGTTTTCTCCTAGGCATTCTTTGAATCTGTATTTTTGATTATTAGTTTGTGTAATGACCTTAAAATATTACAATTGGTTCCCCCAGGACTTTGAAAGTTTGTCATTTATTCATCTGAGAAACTGCACTGAAGTATCTTTAAATGTAAATTTTAAGCAGTGATTAGTATGGTGACATCAAAGCTCTGGAGAACAGTGAGTCAATTTTTAAAATCAGCCAATTAATAGCAGGATGTTTTGTGAACTAAATGGGAAGGCAAGAAAACCTTTTGGTCATAAAGGAGACTCTCCGAGAGACACAAATCTCAGAGTTCTGGCACAGCACTTGGGATAATTCTCACACCCCACAGCCTACAGAGTAACTGTGAACTCATCCTGGACATCCTCCAAGGCACAACAATGACCAGATCCCTTGGGAGATCAGTAAATAGGGGGAAGTTTTGTTTAGAGCTGGGGTGCACATGCAAGGCAGGAACAGCTGATCTGGCTGTTCCAGGAACACAGACGTATCTCCACAGCACAACCAAACCCAACCAGAGTCATCATCAGCTACAATGACTTTATCATTCAGCAACAGAACAAGGGTCAGAACAGGGAAAAGGGAAGTTCCCACCAGGGTGAAAGAAAAATAGTCTCCTTGCAGCTCTAAGAGCAAAATGCAGTTCTCATATCTCATGATATTCTGTAGCTGAAGAAGTGGGAATTAGAAACCCAAAGACACAAACTTCAGTAAAACACCAGTGAGCTCCCAGAGCCCTTGACTGGTCCTGTCTGTCATTTCCAAGACTACAATAGGTGTGACAGTATTTTGGGTTTATGTCAATAAAAGAACACTTTTCAAATGACACTGTAACTGTTTTCCTGTGGAAAAGTTAAAGCAACACTTACTCTGTCCCTGCCAATGGGTAAGGGGTGTGCTGTGTACATGTTCCGCTTCCCATCGTACCCAGGCTGCCGATCCCCAAAAATCTGCATCTTGAAGTGCCTCACCATCGTGTCCACCACCTCCCTAGGCAGCGATTCATTAAGTGCAAGAACAGAAAATTCATTAATGGGCTTACACAATTTAAAATTATTTTTTCACTTTTTCTTAAAGGAGCAGGATATGAGAAACAGTAATGCACGAAAGCACCCCCAGGTCACACCAGAAGCTGTGCATGTCACCCCCAGGTTAAGACACCCAAGTGGCACACACAGGTGTCTGTACAGGTATCTGCGCTGTCAGCAGAGCTACAGCCAAAGCAAGCAAAGGAACCTGGAGAGATGTTCTCACACAGGAGCAGACACAAGCCTTGGGGTGGATGGGAGAACTCTGTAGATTGATCCATGTGTGGACTCCAAAATCTACAAGCTGAAATGCCTCCCCTCAGCTGCTACACGTTTGTGTAACAGACTGTGGAACAATTACCAGGGACATTGACTTGTAGACTGTAAAATAAAACCAGCTGGAGGTCAATGCTCGGTATATTTCCTAGAGCCTTCCAGATTAAAGGACAACTGCAAGAATATTAAAGTTAACTGAAAAGCAACTGCTGACCACAAGCGGGCCTTTAGCAGATGGAGAATTCCTAGGATGCACAGCTTCCTTACATTCAGATATCCACTCAATTTAAATCAATAAACCTTTATTAAGTAACTCCCACCTGTTGACTCTCCGGGGGCGTTTCTCTGGTTTGATATCTACATCATAGTGATAAACATCAATCTTGGGGATCTGAACCTGGAAGTGGTTGGCCAGGAGCCGGATGGGTTTCCCAACAGTGCCCAGGCCTGGGCGACGGGGTGGCTGGAAAAGGCTGGTGGGGGGCCCTAGGAAAGTCAAATAAATAAATGTGTGTGAGACGTGATGGCTCACTCCATGCACCATTGGACTGGGCAGCAAGAAATGCTGAGCTTTTTGAGGCTGCAAACAGAGGCGTTCAAAGAGGCTCAGCCTTCCAGCTGCTCAGAACTCCAAGGTAAAAAACCTAAAGCATGTATAGGTAGGTGCCATAAATAATTGTTAAAATTTTAGTGTCATTTATTCATGAACATGGTTAAGAACATCACAGAGTCCTGAGAGGGAAAGCAACCATACAGATATTATGTATTTTCACGTAATGCAAAGATAAATACAACCCTACCTCCATTTCTAGAACAAACCAACAGCCCCAAAAGTCACATTTTGTCATTGTTTTCATTACAGGTTTAAAGTTCAGACATCAATGATCCAATTTAAAATTCCAACAGAAGGACAGGAGTGAGGAAAGGTTTAGGCTTTCGTCTAAGTAGAAAGATAAGGGAGAAAGCATTAGACAGGTATGGACTCCCACAGACATGGAAGAGATATTTTATTGGGACAAAAGAAGAGCTTCAGGAACAGATCTAAGGAGGAAATTATTAGAGGCCTGGAAGCATTACTCACATGCAAGCTGGTCACTGGGGAAGCCTTTAGTTACCCTCCTCAAAGTGTTAAGATCTGAGATACCATGTTAACGAGATTAAACCGACTATTTTTTAAATCGATCAGAGCCTCAGCTGACACTGCACATAAAGCAAATGACATTGGTATATTTTCATGGGTTTGTCTATATCTGAGCAAGGCTCAGCGTGATCAAAGTGTCTTCCCTCTGTTGTAGAGCAGCAAAGGAGAGGGCAAGCACTCTCACTAGAATGCAATAATAAACCTATCATAAAACTTAGGGCAAATTTAGCATTATAACCTGACAGCACCCATGTAAGACAAAATCTCAGAGTTTGTACCAGGAGAAAGGAGAGGTAGGTGACTTCCATTTGGGTACACAATAAACTTTTAACACAACCATAAACTAAACACAGGACCAAATCCCAGGATTTAAAAGCTATCCACTGGCTACTGCATTAGTAAATGAAATTACCAACCTACGGACACCAGCCCTGGAATATTTTTAAGCAGAAGGAACACAGAGCATGTAAGCAGCTGGAGCCAATGCCATGTCAGCTCTGCAGAGCTGCAGTGGCAGGGGGCTGCTGGGGACACACACCCACAGGACACGTTCCTGGCTCCACACCCGCCTGAGGGATCATGCTCTGTCACGGTCAGTGGGGTACAGTTAGTGTTTAAAAAAAGTTACAGTTTGTTGTTTAAAAAAACTACAGCTGTCTTGACAAGCGTGAATCATTGAGGGCAATCAAAGTTTGCTGTGCGTATTTGGATACGAGAGATGATCCATTAATCCCATGCTAATTAGTCTGAAGGAAGTGCAGGCACTGACCTCCTGCAAGAGATTAAATGACAACTATATTTACCCATTTTCCTCCCTTGGTATTGACAAGTTCTGCAAACACACACAGCAACGCTGCCCTCTGTTCTGACCAAAGGAAATAAAAATTACATCTTCTTCCTCCTGAAGTTATTTCTTAAAGGATTCTAGAGAATCAGCTACAAACTGTTTTCCCATTTGAAGCCAGGCTGCTCTGGCATCACAGGATTTTCATCTGACCAGCCTGACTAGGCCTGTATGTGCTGTTATATTTTAATTTCTCTTACCCCACAACCATTATGTACTAAGCACCTCAACCGAATTGCTTCAGACAGGAAGCAGTTTTCAAAACTGAAAGAGAATCTGCTTCCCCAGCTGGAACTCAGGGAGGCCAGGACACATCACACACATACAGCAGGCTCTGAGTCAGCCCTCACTACCTCAAACTCTGGATTCTTCTGGAATTGCACCTTTGTGTCAATAAATGTTTCCTATCACACCAAAATTAACATCACTTCGCTTATACCAATCGTTTCAATGGGAATTTGATGGGTCAGGTGTACAGGGCCACCGAGGGCTAGAAATACATCCTGCAGGCATTTGATGGGAGAATAATCGTGGAATAGGAACACGCAGGAAAGCAGCACATGCAAAAACCCACCAGCATTTAAGCGAAGTTTGTTCAAGAAATAAACCGCCGTATTTTCAGACAGCATCACCTTAAACTCTCAGAAATAGCTCAATGTCAAATATAAAACTTATCCCTGCACAGGTTGCGGGGCGCGCATCGCTGTGCCAGTCCAGCCCTGCCTGTCCCCGTCCCCTCGCTGCCGCTGTCCCGCTCCAGCCCCGTCCCGCTCACCCCGGGGAGGCCGAGGCGCGTCCCCCGGCAGCCGCGGGGCCGTGAGGGCAGCCGCAACCCCCACGCAAAGTTTCGCGACCCGGCTGCGGCTCCTGCGCGCCGGCGGCTCCGAGCGGGCCCCGCCGCCGCCGGGGAGCCCCGCCGGGCGGCGGGGAGCGCTCCCCGCGTTCCGCTTCCCCGAGCGGCGGCGCGAACAATCCCCGCGCTGCGCCCCCGCCGAGCCCGCGCGCGCCCCCGCCGCCGCCAGCACGCGCCCGAGCGCGCTCCCGGGACGGGGGTGAGGAGGAGGAGGAGGAGGAGGAAGAGGAGGAAAAAGGAGGAGGAGAAGGGAGGGAGGAAGAGGCCGCTCCGCGCTGCCCGGCGCCGCCGGCTCGCGCACGCGCGCCGCCCCCCCTCCCGGCCGCGGGAGCGCGCACGCCGCCCGCGCGACCCCGCAGCCGCAACAGGTGACGGCTCCGAATCGCGGAACCCCGGAATATTCAGGGTGTGAAGGGAGCTCGGGAGATCGTGCAGCCCCAACCCCCTGCAAGGCAGGGTCACCGCAGCAGGTGACAGGGACGCGTCCAGGTGGGCTTGGAGTGTCTCCGATAGGGAGACACCACGCCCTCCCTGGACACCTGTTCCAGTGCTCGGCCACCCTCAACATAAAGTTCTTCCTCATGTTAAGGTGAGACACTGTGGTTTTGTTTATGGCCATTGCTGCTCATCCTGTTGCTGGGCACCAGCGAAAAGATCTTTTTTCAGTGGTGCCCAGCAACAGGGTGAGGAGTAATGGCCATAAACTCTAACACTTCCTCAGCATAAGGATGAACTTTCCATGAGGGTAGCCGAGCGCTAGAACAGGATTATGGAGTCTCCCTGTCCAGAGAGATTCCAGACTCACCTGGACACGTTCCTGTGTCACCTGCTCTGGGTGACCCTGCCTTGGCAGGGACATTGGACTGGATGATCTGCAGAGGCCCCCTCTGACCCAAACAATTTTGTGATTTGGTGAAAAGAGTCTGGCACCATTCTCTTGGCACGTGCCTTGCAGACATTGGTGTGGATTGATGGGATCCCCTCTTAGCTGTCCATTCTCCAGAATAACCAGGCCCAGCTCCCACAGTCTCCTCAACAGAGAGATGCTCCAGACCCCCATCATCTTTGTGGCCTCTGCTGGACCCTGTCCAGTATCTCCTTGTCTTTCTTGTCCTGAGGAGCCCAGAACTGGACGCAGCCCTCCAGGTGTCCCTCACTAGGGCTGGCTGCCAGGATTCCCTCCCTGACCTGCTGGCTCTTCCCAGGGTGCAGCTCATGCATGTGGCTCTTCCAGAGCTGCCCCAGAAGAGATGAGAGCTGCTGCCCCTCGGGCCCCAGGAAGGAGGGAACTGTCTGTCTGTACCTCCCCTGTTCTGTCCCAAAACCCAACACCTGTTTGCAGGTTTAATAATTAACCCAGAGCTCCAGCACGCCCCGTGACAGCTGCCCTGATGGTGCCTGCTGCCCTCAGTGGTGCTGCTCCACCTTCACCAGTGCTCCACCGCTCCCCAAAACCAGGGAATTCTCCTTGCTCAAGTCCAGTATCTCCTTGTCTTTCTTGTCCTGAGGAGCCCAGAACTGGACACAGCCCTCCAGGTGTCCCTCACTAGGGCTGGCTGTCAGGATTCCCTCCCTGACCTGCTGGCTCTTCCCAGGGTGCAGCTCATGCATGTGGCTCTTCCAGAGCTGCCCCAGAAGAGATGAGAGCTGCTGCCCCTCGGGCCCCAGGAAGGAGGGAACTGTCTGTCTGTACCTCCCCTGTTCTGTCCCAAAACCCAACACCTGTTTGCAGGTTTAATAATTAACCCAGAGCTCCAGCACGCCCCGTGACAGCTGCCCTGATGGTGCCTGCTGCCCTCAGTGGTGCTGCTCCAGCTTCACCAGTCCTCCACTGCTCCCCAAAATTCCTTGCTCAGTGGATGACACCCTGAATAACTCCCAGTACCAGCTAAACAGCCTCAGTGGGATTAAAACACCTGACAAAACAGGATTTGTACAGTGAGGCACAGCAGTGAGCCTCGCAGGGCTGTGACCACCAGCCCCCGTGGGCACAGGGTGGCTGAGGATCCGTGAGGGCTGCACATCCACCAGTGGCTGGCACAATCTTGGGCATCACCCAGGAGCTGCCTGGGAAGCGCCAGGGGTGGGAACCTGCGGTGTTCCACTGACCAGGGCGCTCAGCTCCTGGGGAGAACCTTGCCATAGCCATGTCCCCTTATCCTCACAGACAATAAATCTGTCCTCTGTTAAAGAGACAACGCTTCCAGCCATCTGCCATTAAATAAAGGGCCTGGGGACTTTTTGCCTTTTTAAGCAGTTTATGCTGTTTTAGCGAGCTGCTCCCTTGTGCACCTCCTGGGTTCTGTTTAACCAACAGCTCCCTGCTGACTCACCAGAAAATCAGGAGTCAAAACATTTTATAAATAATAAATGCTGAGGCCATTTTATTTGCCTTTTTTAACCTGTGGGGCTGATATTTTCCAAGTTGAAACATCAAAATCTATTTTAAAATGAAATTAAATCTGAGATTCTCATATAGATCTGAGATTCTCTCATAATTCCCTGACAGCAGCTGATGAACATCTGAGGAAAAAACCAGTTTTACCAGACCAGTAACAAACTCCACGGCATCTGGCAACATTTCCATGCTATTATTCATCACATCTACGTATAAAAAACACGTATGTAGGGCTACACAAATAGTACTTAAAAAAAAAATTAAAGATCAATCTCTGTCTCAAGAGATCTGCAACACAAAGGCTCAGTCCTGTAAGATGTTGCCTTTATTCACTGCATTATAAATTATCTGAGATTCTCTCATAATTCCCTGACAGCAGCTGATGAACATCTGAGGAAAAAACCAGTTTTACCAGACCAGTAACAAACTCCACGGCATCTGGCAACATTTCCATGCTATTATTCATCACATCTACGTATAAAAAACACGTATGTAGGGCTACACAAATAGTACTTTAAAAAAAAATTAAAGATCAATCTCTGTCTCAAGAGATCTGCAACACAAAGGCTCAGTCCTGTAAGATGTTGAGTGTGATAACTAAAGCATTATAAATTCTATTAACTTGATAAATATTACACACATGGTGAGACAACCCCACTGCCACAGCAATCAGAACCCTATTTCTATGTTAACCCAGCCTTTTCTTGAAAACAGCCACATTTCCAGGGTCAAGACTGGATTTGGGAATGACAGATCAGAGTTATGATGGGATTATCTCTGAGGATTTCCTTTTAAACACCTCATCTGCTACAAGCTGGGGGAAGGAGTATGTTGTTTAGTAAAAAACAGATTCCTAAACTAGCTTTCATAATATAAATAAAAGTCTTAATATGGGGCTAGATCCAGTGCTAAAAGTCTGTGTGACATTTAGAACCTCCTTAATGGCAAACATTTTACCTGTTCCATGGCTGCCTCTGTGTGCCAGGTATGAGTAACCACCCAGAAATTCCCTAATAAGGCCAATCTTTTTGTCACCTTTTTCTTGTCAGCTGACTCTGACTCTCATCCTGACGCAGCCGTGAGAGCGCAGCCCTGAGGAGGTGTGTTTGTGCAGAGCCAGCATCTGTCCCTCTGTTACTAAACACTAATTACTAAATTAATTACTGGAGCTCCTGCAGCAGCTAGGAGAAAGCAGAACTGTGGTGTTTGTGGTGGGTTTCATGGACATTTGCTTGTCTCACTTCCTTTGTTCTCAGGCTTGTTGGCTCCATGTGAACTGTCATGGTAGATCAGTCTGTCCTGCTCCCTGTCCCTGACAAAACCATAACAGTAAAATACCCCAAAAACTGACCAAACACCCCAAAACACTTTTTATTTTTTCCTTGCCTTCAGTGATAGAAGATTCCCACAGGGTGGCTTGGAAGGAAATGTATTACTGTAGCAGTATGTTCTACAAAGTAATTGTAATTATAAAAAAAAAAAGCCAAATACCCCCAATTGTAGGTCAGAACAGGGTCCCTCACACTCTCCCCAGCTCAGGGCTCTCCCTCCCTTGCAAAAGAACTACAGAATAAACGTAACAAAAATGGATCAAGTAGAATATTTTCATACTTGGATTGATTCTGTACTAGAATATCCCTGTATGGGCCATTCACCTTGCACTTGGACTCAATGATCCTTGTGGGTCCCTTCCAACTTCGAATATTCTGTGAAATCTGTGAAGTATGAAGTGATTTGCATCTGTTAAGTAGTTCTTCATTGACTTATGTATTTTCAGTAAATGTTTCTGTCTTTAGAAGCCTTTCTTTTCTTCCATTAAGGAACATTAAGCAGCAAGGTTAAGTAAAGAAGTTGTTAAATAACTACATAATGAGACTTGATGACTTATGAGAGGTAAAACTTAAATCTTTTGTACGTAGAGGGAATATTCAGAAATTCAAGGAGAAATTGAAATTAATTGAAAGAATTCACGCAAAAGCTTTGAGCACCCATTCACCTAACATGATGGTTGGCTCAGAGTATGTCTGTACAGCAGCCAGTGGAAAATGCATGTATTTTATTCTGTAAAGAGGACGCTGCTGACAGTAATAGCTGTGTGTATCCAATATCCATGAGCTCGACTCGTGTGCTCTCACCCACACGGTCACCCGGAGACATGACACGCAGCATATCCCGAAGATGAAACATAGGCTCTGTTTAACCCATGAAAGGAAACAATGTGAAATGTTTTGGCAGCAGAGCCCCATCCCCACAATGGCGATAATGGAGAGAGCTGTAAATCCCTGGGCCCTTCACGGCCCCTCATGACTCCTCTCGGTCCCTCACGTCCCGCTCAGCCCCCCATGTCCCCTCGCATCCCTTCTCAGGCAATCTTGGCCGCTCACGGTCCCTTTCGGCCCCTCAGTCCCTCACAGTCCCTCACGTCACTCTCGCTCCCCCTTGGTCCCTCACATCCCCTCGTGTCCCCTCATGTTTCCTCGTGTCCCCTCACATCCCCTCGCGTCCCCTCACACCCCCTCGTGTCCCCTCATGGTCCCTTTCGGCCTCTCACATCCCCTCATGTCCCCTCACATCCCCTCGTGTCCCGTCACAGCCCCTCGTGTCTCCTCATGGTCCCTTTCGGCCTCTCACATCCCCTCA